CAACAGGGAGTAAGCAAGAACATAAAATTATTTTTAGAAAATGCATTTTTAATTACCGAACTGCTTAATTATTGAGTACTATGGAAAATATCCTGTGAACCTCATCACTATGCAAATGTATTCAGTTTTGGAAACAATTAAATGATAATAAAGCATTCTTTTTTCTTTTACAACATATTACTGTAATGAAGCTGTTACCTCTCAGTGTGCATTTTAATGAGTTTTAAGTAACATTTTAATGAGCTCAACATTACCATAAACCCGAGGATTAGACAAAATTGAATTTACTGGGAAAAGGGAAGGGTTCATTAAGAGTTAATTATATAGTTTAAGAAGAAATATAATTCATTTTATGATGTCCCATCAACCAAAAATCCAGCAGTTGATCTATACTTATTAATAGGTATAGAAATGCCATTATTATATTGACATAAAAATATGGGTTTGCACACTACTGCTCAGGTTTCCAATGAAAGTTTCTGTATTGAAATCCCTGGGTCAACTTTGTTCTTATCCAGCTCATTATTACATCTGAGAAGAAAAAAACCCAAGCTTTGTATTACTGGTTTGTAATTCCACCTACATTTTTTATAAACATTATGGACAGTGAAAGCAAAGTTTAATGGATTTGCCATTGCTAGTAGGATCTGAAGGCAGGTTATGAATAAATGTCTGGGATTTATTATTTTAAAAAGGACTGTTTGAGATTTGAATCTGTCAGCTTTATTGACTTGCCTACTCTTAACAGTGATCTGTTGAATGTCTGATGTCCAGTCTCCTGGATGCCCAGAAATTGCAGGTAAATTCCTGTACAACAGCTCCACACTGGCTGCACTGTACATTCAGATGTACATTTAAATGTACAGGCCCTGCACAATGTGGAGTTAAACTGCTCCTGCTCCGTAAATTCAGTTACACACTGGATTTACTGCTTTGCATCTGTCAGTGTTGGCATTTCTGTTTAACCATTTGGAAAACTATGGAGGGTTGGAGATCAGTGCCCTGAGATGTCTAGCTATAAATGAACAAGTTGTAAAATCTTAAGCAAAGTATTAGTTGTGCTGAATTAGTATAGTGCTCTCTCGTTCATGGCGTAGTGCTGTCACCTGCTATTTTAAAAATAAAGGTATGTATTTTGTTGATGACACAGCCTTTCAGTGGGTTGAGGGAAGCCTCTGGGGGGTTGAAAGCTTTCATGAGTTTCATCATAATCATAGAATCATAGAATGATAGCAGGTGGAAGGGACCTTCAGAGGAGGGCCACAAGGATGATCCAGGGGCTGGAGCACCTCTGCTACAAGGACAGGCTGCAGGAGCTGGGATTGTTCAGTCTGGAAAAGAGAAGACTTCGGGGCGACCTAATAGCTGCCTTCCAATACCTAAAGGGAACATACAAGACAGCTGGGGAAGGACTTTTTACAAGAGTGTCCACTGATAGAACAAGGGGAAATAGGTTTAAGTTGAAGGAGAATAGATTTAGACTGGATCTTAGGAAGAAATTCTTCAGTACGAGGATGGCAAGACTTTGGAATAAATTGTCCAGAGATGTTGTGGCTGCCCCCTCCCTGGAGGTGTTCAAGGCCAAGTTGGACAGAGCCTTGAGTAGCCTGATCTAGTTGAGAGGCGTCCCTGCCCATGACAGGGAGGTTGGACTAGATGATCTCTAAGGTGCCTTCCAGCCTAGGCCATTCTATGATTCTATGATCTGCCAGAGCAGGATCACCCAGAGTAGGTCACACAGGAACGCGTCCAGGCTGGTTTCGAAAGTCTCCAGAGAAGAAGACTCCACAACCACCCTGAGCAGTCTGTTCCAGTGCTCCTGAACCTAGCTTTTGTGGAGGAAAGAGCAGTCTAGCAAATGTCTGTTTGAGAGAGGAAAATCGTGAGCTGCGGTCAGCAATTAGACCTGCTAGTGTTCCATGGCTCCTGCATGTGCCACACCCAAAGGTGTGCCCTGAGAGTGGCAATTCTGGTTGCTGAGTTTCAAAATGTAAAGGTGAACCTGTAGACCTACCTACACTGCAAAGATGGTCCCTTACAACAGAAGTCAGGGTACTGGTGGCATTCGAGAAGGAAGTTTGGTTAGTACTTTTGACTGAATAGGTGCTCAGAAAGGAAGTGCAAAGAATAGCTGTTAAGCAAGTAGTAAATTCTGGGTATGACAGGAAGAAAGTAAAGTGCCACTGAGTGAGCAATTATAAGCCACATTGTACTAAAGCTCCATTTATTCCACAGCAGGAGTGTTTCCATCTCTTCTGAGTTGTTTCCAGCTGATCCATCTGTTGCTAAGTAAAGAAGGAAATCCCGATGAACAGAATTAAATTGTAGAAATTGAACACGTACCGTCTGTTGGCTGAGCATTGTTTAAGGCCCCATGTTTTCTCCCCCAGAAGCTCACCTCGTTGTATGAATGAGGCAGCACAGCCAGGCATGTGGAAGTCTTCAGAGAGAAACTGAAAATGCTCTGCACCTACATCTGGAATTGTTCAGAAAAGGAGGAGCAGAGCTACAGAGGTCCTCCTCAAGGGAGAGGTTAATTCAATTTTCCTTAATTGAAGCTGCACAAGCAAACTGGAGAATGTTTCCAGTTCTCCTGATCTCAGAGAAATCCCACAGCATGCACTGGTTATATGAGCTATTGTATTTTATATATTCCTTATTCTAAATATAGGGAACTATAATACATAGTTTAACAATACATTTTCCTTGGTGGAAAATCTGGTTTAAGTAGTACTATTCTCTCCTGACCACTTATTTCCTCCACTTGTAATAATTTATCATTCTTTCAGTTGCTGATAGATCCTGGCTGTGAACTGGGTCAGCGGAGTAATCTGGGTTAAAAATCTTCCAAACAGGAGACTTTTTTTTTTTCTGGTTTTCTTTTCTTTTTCTAATTTACATGAAAGAAAATGTTTGTACTACTTGGCCTAAAATCTGTCCCAGGTGAATACTGTGGTGGGCTAAATATTCCCTTCATCCAGTCCTGTCTAGTCTAATAATCTAATCTGCCTATTTCAATATTATACTTTGTCTGTCATATGTTGCTTGAATACTTTATCTTGTCAGTATAGGCTCTTGTTTTCTAGTGCAATTGAAGAATGACAGTAACTATATAAATGTGCACAAATCTTTTGTGGGAGTTACAGACACAGGTACTATGTGATTGAAGTGAATGACTTAAGTGTGCTGGGAGCTTCCTATTTAAAATAATGCCTGTTTCAATATTTATTTATTAAATGTGTCTGTGCTGGAATAGGTTATTTGTTATACTAGTAGATTATGTACAAAAGGCCAGGGGAAGAGGAAAGATTGTAAAAATTATTTTATATTCTAATTTTAGGATTAACAGAGGTCTTTCAGACACTTAAGAGGAACATGAGCCCTTCATCCAAAGGGCTGCTCCAGCTGTTGAGGAACACACCTGTTAAAGACTGTTTTACAAGCTTATTTTAGATTATCTATTCTCTATAGTCTAGGGTAAACAATTATTTGAGTTGTGCTGTTTGCCAGTTTTCTCTTACTTTAAAGCTATCAGCAAATGTGTGGTTACCCTGATTTTCTCTTTTACTGAACTGCCAGAGCAGTATTCAGCACGAAGGGTTTAGAAGGATATATGGCATGTGGGGGATTTATTTGGATGTTCTAGTTTTACTGTACTGATAATTTTTCTATTATGTGAAATTTGCTGTATATGAAATAGCACTTTGAGAAAGTGGTATTAGTTAGAAAAAAAAGGATCATTTCAGCTTTACTGCAGCTCGAAACATTATGCTGCTATATTTTCAACAGTATGTCTGGGAGCTGGTGCAACCACTCAGCTGAAGGTCATTTTGAGTCTCAGGCACAGCAGAGTGTGACTGGAGGGTGGAGCTGGACACCCAGGTTCTGGTCTCCCTCAGGATGCTGAAGCTTCCTTTTCAAAATTGTTGCTTCAGGCTATTACAGTTGGTCTTTGCTCCTGCTTCTTTAATTTTTTTCTTTCCTCTTGCATGATGTGGTGAATCATAATTAGAGCAATGTGAATTCTTCCATTATTCTTCTCTTTTGAAAATAAGTGGGAGAGTTATATTTCATATTGTATAGGAGTAATTCCTTATGCTGTTTGAACTGATCAAAAAGTCAGAAGATTTCATACAAGATTACGCTAGTCTTTTCTGTTTTGCATAAAATGACTTATTTGGGGCTTCCTTTCCATGTTCAGACCATAGAAAGCTACTACTTTATCTAGTTGTTGGTGGATTATTTCCTAGTTGGTAGCATGTTGACAACTGAAATGACACTCTCTGAAGAGCATTTAATATAGGGTCATAATATCATGTTGCTCCTTCAGTTCTTTAGAGCTATGGAAATTTAAATTCATTATTCAGAATGATATGATGATAAGTGATAGATGAATTATTTTGCAGTGGTCAAAATAATCCAAAATAAATATCATCTAACATTTTTTTGTCAGTTGTTGAATTTGAAAAGTGCCTTTTGTGAAGGAAGAATCCAATGATGAAACTTCAAAACAAAGCAACCAACACTTGAACACTAGAATTAAAAGATATCCTCAGAGACAGTAAAGTTGGAGTTTTAATAAGCAAAGTCTTTGGGCCATGCACCCTTGCTTTTTTAATTTATTGTCAACTATTAAAATAATATTGAATTAAATGTGTGATCACAAGTAGTAGAGGAGTTTTAGGGGTTGTGGTTTTGTTGTAAATTCTTGGAGAGTGAGTGCCAAATATGCCTGGAGCAGTGAGCACACATACTGGTGACTTGTAGCCTTCTGCCGTCCCGCTCCCTGTATACTCAGTTTTTCCTTCACATGGCTCAAATTTTCCACTATCTTCAAATACTTGGGCATTACTCAGTGATAGCTGTGCAAACCCGTTTTATGAGTTTCCAGTTTCCAGTCTCGATTTGATGGGGCAAATTTTAAAAACAATTGAAAGCAGCTGAGCCCTTCAAAAGGTTAATGATTAAAGAAGGCACATGGTGGTCAGGTCCAGCAGGAGATGCCGCCGCTGGGCCTGTGCGATGATGTGCCCGTTTATGGGACAGACGGCGTGAGGCCAGCCAGGCCTACAAGAGCCGGCCTGTTCAAACGGCATCTGGCAAGCAACCCAGAATGGCCTATTGACATGAGGACAGTTTGCAGGATGGGAAGTGAGGTGTTCCAGAAGCAGCAGACGGCTCCCCCTGGTTCTGCATACCAACTGTGGATGCATCTCATGTTCCATGTCTAATGTAGTGTGGCCGCATGGTCCCCTTGCAATGGAGTTATACAAGCTTATCCAGAAATATGTGCCTTGCTATGTCTGCTCAAATATCTTGTTTCCAATACTGACTGCTGAAGGGAGCAAGACAAAAGCCCTGACAATAAAAATCCTGCTCACAAAAACATGAATAGATGAGTTTTAGCATATAATTCACAGATAAAACTTGATAGAGACCAGGGTTAGGGACAGAGGTCAGAGAGATGGAAAGAAGAGAATTCCTATGTTGGGCAACAGCCTGTTTTGTTTGATGCTTTCCCTAATGTGCCTAAAGTATAGCAGTAATGTGGCAGTGACCCCCTGCCAAGATGGGAAAGCATCCCAGCTGTTGTGTATGTGTTGTGCATGTGTACACAAGAAGTTTATTAGAGGCTATTCACACTTCAGTGGAGCTCGGAGATTGCAGTCTGTATTATATTGGTTAAATGAAGCATGTAACATTCTATATTTCTCATACTGGATATATTCATTCATTTGTATTCATTTTCATGATTCTCATCTGTTCTTATTCCTTTGTTTTACCAAGGGCACATGTACATTTTAGGTGTTTTGGCTGGACTTGTACTGGGAGCCTGGGGGCCTGAAGCAGCTAAAGTAGTTGCAGGAGAACCAACTTCAGTCTGGAAACAGAAAACATACAGTTGCTCAGTGCCGTGTTAGACTCTAGGTAGCATTCATTAGGTTAAGCGTAGTCTTGCAGGTACCTGGCAGGACTACTTCTGTACACACAGCAGCAAACCTGCATGTTATTACATGTGATTTCTGCATGTTATTACATACATGTGGTTTCTGAGCTTAATAATTGAATCTATACTTTCTGGGGAGTCTTTGTGCTGTACTGTGTATGTACAGTGCAGTTTCTGTGTGCTCTTCTGAAACGCTAGATGAAAAGCTCCTACCTGAATTTCATTCGTATATCTCTGATAGTAATATCTGAGGTTTTTTGGATGCCATAGTTTTTGAAAACTGGTTATATATTTCTAAGTTTGACTTGTTCTGTGTTTTTTTAGTTTTGTTTATTAGAACCGAAGAATGGCTGTACTGCAGGAGAACAAAATCTATCCAGTTGAGTCTATCCTTTTTCTGACAGTAGCCTGTGAGGGATTCTGGAGGATTGCCTTTTTTGCCAAATGCGATTCTCCCTGCTGCGTTGCTGGAAGAGAAGCATAGCTGATGTCATCTGAAGAGTCCTTTCATGTTTTTGGTGAAACTAGTCACATATTCTTGCTGCAAAGGAGACATACTGTCATACAATCAACAGTGAAAGTACACTACTTCAGCTGTGATGTTGTATTTTCTGGAGCTGTGCTTGATCCCATCTGATATTCACATTAGTTGGGAAAAATAAATTACTTGCCCATGATTTTCTGAATATGTAGTGCGTTAAATGTGCAGAGCACGTAAAAGCTAGCGTCAGACTTGAGTTTAAAAGATCGTTAAATAGCTATTCTAGTCAACTGCTAAATGTCTGATCCTTGTTAAATCTTCAGATGTAGACCATGCGCATTTTTCAAAGTTCGTTGTCTGTAATTGTGGTACCAGTTTTAGAAGGTCTCTGGATGTTTGAGCAAGGAATAGAGTTTTTAGTTTCAATGAAATAAAACTCTTGGAAACACGTCTTTTGTTAGCATTAGCAATCTGCACAGTGCATTCATCAAGAGTGATTATGCTTTAAGAAGAGAAAAAACAAATCTGATCTGTATCCTAGAGAAATTTTTTCAACGTATTACGTTGTATAGCTTTAGATTTCTGAAATTACTTAAATGTGGTCTTCAGGATATTTGCATTCATAAAGAATACTTGGTTATGCTTATTGCTTCCTTTTGCCTTTCTTGACTGTCAAAACACAGTGATGCTTTTGAAGATTTATAGCAGATGGGTAATGAGATTGCTGACTGTTAGCTGCAGCGTTCAGAATTTGTTAGTGGAAGGAGGTGGGAGTTTGAAAGAGAAAAGGTTATGGGGGCTTCATTGCAATGAAGACAGGTGATAGAACTTTGTTTTCAGTCAGGAAACTTAAACATAAATATGTTATGTTCCAAATTAGAAAAATCTCCACTCTTCACACTACCTAGTACTCAAATAAAATTCTTCAGAAAAAATTATGGACGTGTCAGATTGCATTCAAGTGATCACAATGAATCACATGAAAGGCAAGGACATTATAAAATTTTTCAGTAAGTGTATTCAGTGTTGCATACACTTATTTCAGCACAAATAGCAGCCTTAGAAAAATCAGAAACAAATTATAAGCTGATATCTACAATAACTATCACTTGTATACCTGTGTAATTGTGTAAAAGGGAAAATAGGTCGGCAGTGCCCTTAATTGGGTTAACTGCTGAAGAAAGCTTTCAAAGTCTGACTCTTGCAGTGTATTCTGTAAATAAGAAAGGAAAAAAAAAATCTATCTTCTTTCCTGCGCTTTGTGCAATCAGCTAGTTGGGGTGCACCTCAGAATGAAATTTAGAGAAAAAAACAAAACTATCTCCCACTGGCTGTTTGGAATCTTGTGTACTTACTTGTCAGTGTTGGCTTGTGCACCTGACTTTTAACACTGAAAATTTATGTTCTTCTGGTTTAATAGATTCTGTATTTAGAAGCAATGGTCTCCACTTTCACATTTAGACATTAATGCTCATGACAAGATCCAGATGTCTATATCTGTATGTATGAGCTGTTAGAAGTTTTAGAGGACATGTCAGATTGGACTATTTTTTTCTATATTTTGATCTTTGCTGAGGCCTGAGAATGAAGAATAAGCTACCTTTAATTGTAAGTGCTAAGTAGGTTACTGAATTCTGAAGCACATTAAATACTGAGTGAGAAACAAGGAAGAAGCCAAAGAAAGTTGCTAAATCTGCAAGGAAGAACATTCTCCTTTTGTTTCTTGATGCAGGTATCTCCTTGCTATTCCTCACTTTGATTTCTAGGGGCCCTACTAATCAAATATTATTGAAGCTACTGGACTCTTTGAAAGTATCCTAAAATATCTGAAAATTAATCTAGTGGATTTGGGGCCTCTTTTTAAAGTAGAGTCTGAACATTCTGAGACATGATAAATTAGCCTGCATTCATGTCTCCTATAGGCAGTATCTGCGTCAGGAAATAGGTGAAAGATGGGAAAAAGAACATGAGGGGAAAATTGTAGAATTCCTTATCATCCTTTTTTTTTTTAAAAAAAAAGATCAATTTTTACCAGGCGATGTGCATGCAGAGGGAACTCAGGGATTCTGTGGGCATCTTGCCTTAGGACTATTGCTAGGCTGTGATTTTTAATTATTTTTTTCTTAATTTTACTTGCAAAATGTGACCGAGGCAGTTGCTGAAACAAAGAGGTGGGCAGCAAACTAGGGCAATAGCATCTTCAAACAAAGCATATTATTATTATTCATGAAGAAAGTTGTCTGCAACCTATGCTTTTTTTCCTGTCACCCCATTTCAGCAGGTAGTCCTGGCTTGCTTAGGGACCATTTCAGTAGATCATACACATTAGCCAAGTTCTAAAATACCTCCCTGCAACATACGCTACCTAAAGTATAATAATCCTTTAATCTATCTGCTGCACGACATTTGGGCAGCTACATATGACATAATAATTCGTGTTGATTGTGTCGATATGTATCAGAGGAGAGAAGTGCCAAAGCAGTGGTGGAGAGATGAGGATTTAGGAAAATGCCTGTGGGGCAATGCCTTTGATTGAGGGAGACCTACCTGCATGTGGCAGCTGACCAACGTGCCACCAATGTGGCCATGTAAAATCTTTGTAGGATAATAATATTATCCTTAGATAAGCCCAAAGCAGGATAAGAGGAGGAAGATAAACTACCAGGATGCAAGTTACAGAAGCACATTAATATTTACTTGGTATCTCTTTATACCCTCTAGTCAGCACGACAGATGTAGCTGTGTTTTAAGACATTATCCTTCATTGAAAAAGGCAAAAAGGGTAGTCTTTCCCTCCCTCCCACCCCGAGTAATTTCAGATGTTCGCTATGTGCGCTGGGGGGAGGAGGTGGAGAGCCAAGCGCTGGTAGGAGAAGAATACAATTATCCCAAAGCCTCCTGACGGGCATCCACTTCTTCCTTCCAGCTTAGCTGCTTGGACCACAGGCTGGGGGCTCGTGGGACATGGACCAGATTGAAAAAGTGGAAGGAGACAGATGGTTATTTGTAATCATCATGTAAATGTAAATCCTATAAAAATTTTTTCTTTCTAAGGGCCTGAAAGCTGTTGTGGTGGAAAGCAGGATTAAGATATGGATATCTAGCCTAGAATAATTTTGACCTTGCCACCTTCCCTCCTACCCCATAAATGTCGTGGCTTTATCTCTGCTTCCTTTAAACAAATTACTGGAGCCTCGGTCAAGGAAATGAATTCGTTTTCCGTGTAATTCCCTGAGTTTATGACCATCAGTTTGAATGAGGGCTGGATTTGGGCCTAAGCTGGCAGGTGCTGGTGAGCAGTTGCCTTGGTAGCAGGGACTTCTTTTTTCTTCTTTCTCCCTCACTCGGGCAGGTGCATGGCCTGTGAGTGTTTATCTCGGCTCTGCCGTTGCTGGATGGGCTTGCTTTCCATGATTACACCCATGAGTACCTGAAACGACCATACAGGACTTTGCATGCCTTAAAGACCGATGTAACAGCTCATAGAGATCTGTCTTTTTTGAGCAGCATCAACTCGTTCAAGCTGCAAAGAAACCGATGAAACTTCAATTAACTTCTGTGTGCAGCACCATTGTAGGCTATGATTTAGCTGTCCTTTCCAGCTCTCAAGTCTGTCCTAGTGCCTTCCCAGACAGAGAGGTGTAGCTATCGAGAAGAATTTGCCCTTCCAAGGCTTTGCTGGGAGCATGTTCGCATTGCCGTTAGGCTGGCAGAGGGGAGCAGCTATCCCCTGCACTGCATCGCTGTTGTTGGGGATACACAGCAGCCCCCAGAGTCCTTCTTTCCGAGGAGACCAGGCTGCCCCAGCGTGGGCAGACAGGACAGGATGACAGCAATCTTCCTCTTTGGCATTCCTTATTAAATGTAGCACACAGGGAGCTGCGTAACATGTTAATGTTGGAATAAAGGAAAATAAGAACTTGGTATGAGGAAGAGGAGCCTGAGGGCAACATTTTTGCCACTTGCATTGAATTTTTAAAATGCTAGCATTCATTCGCTGCCAAAGGCTGGCTTCTCAAGTGGACAAAAGCCTCTTGCCAGTGTGTGGAGAAGGTGATCTGCTCAGGCACACTAATAGTTATTTGGACTTACCCATCAATTGTGGATAATTGGCTGAGGAATATTCTGCAACTCTCAACCATTTTTCTATTTTCATATATGATTGTACCATTAGATACAGTGAATTCACTAAGCTGTGCTGCAGCTTTTCCATTTATTGTCCTAGTAAGTGAGCATAGCTTCCATTTAATGCTCCTTTCTTCTGTGGCTTTCTCTGCCGCTGGAATGGGACCGCAAAGCTCACCAGCTCACATTCTGGTCTCCTCTATGCACTCTTTTCCTCCTCCCTGCTCCTTCCCTTTTGGATGAGGCTTGGATGGCTGTGCTGATCAGATTAACTTCTGTGCTTTGTATCATCATTTGTTATATTGCATTAAAAGCACTGACTCACAGGAATGGCAACCTGTGCCATTCTTTACCTTGCTTTTCTATGCTTTTTTCCTTACCTGGCTTTTTTGTTTCAGTCTCCTTAAACTTAGAGTGTTCCTGCTCTTTCTCTCTGAGTTGTTTTCTCTCTTTAATTTATATTCCATGCATTTTTCTTTTATCTCTGTCTTTCTGTCCCTGCTTTGTTTTTTCTGTATTTGATTTTTTTCCAACCATTTTTTGTTTTTCTCCAAAACACAGATGGAAATGGTGAGATATATCTATTCAAGATTCACATATGTGCTGAGGTACAGAGGAAGATTAAGTAAACCCTGTAGCATCAATTTTATTTTTCTTTCAAGCTAGATTTGCAGTAAGACTTGGGTAAAGGAATGTGATAAAATCAAATCACCTCTTAGCCTCATATTCTGAGGCTGATTGGAACCTTACACAGTTGCTGGGATGATTCAGAGAAAGTTAATGTAATTTACTGTGTATCACCCCAAGAAACTACATTTTCCAGCTTCATATAGCAGTGTGAAATGTTCAAGGAAATCACTTTTGTTAATATTGCTGCCAGGAGTTAGGAGTCAGGAATATAAAGTAATTATGTTGCAGGATCTGTTGATTTTCTGGGGATTTTCCACTAATGGATTTACTCTGAAGTCTGTTATAGTACAAAGAATCAAGCCAATAAAAATCAGCATTTTTTTTTGTGTAATAATAATGGAAGAAGTTACTGTTTATCTGTTTGCCAGTTATATGAAAGAGGATATAGCATTGCCTAGAAGTACTTTTTTTCCTCTATATCATAGTGATCAGGCATGTGAAGATGGCTGCCTAAAATAGGTGATTTTGTAATACTTTTTTTGGTTCTTTCCTTGAAATTGCTGTGGTATTAGATTTCTTGGCTTTGCTAAATGTTGTAATGCCAAATAATCAACAGCCGAAGATCTTCAGTGTACAGTTTCTGTGTTGTGCATTGCACAAGTTATTTCTTCCATTTCATACATTTGATTTCTGTCAGTTTGATTACTCTGACTCAAAAATGTATGAATGATTTCTATTAATCACAAATATTTTCAGCCTGAATTTTATCTGCTGGAAAAAAATATATCAGCTGGGTGTGTCACATAAGAATGCTACCTGTTCTTGCCAGAGCTGTGTTTGTTGCCAGCTGTGTCCTGTCACTTTTATTTTATATTTCAAGAGCAAGTGCTAAATAATCTTTTTTTTGTGTGTTAGAAAAGAAATTAACTTCCAGTTAACTCCCTCCTTCCTCTGGGATCTACCTGTGTATCCCAAAAATGGGGAACGATAAAAGTTACCTCATATGTTGGTTTGAGTGCCACGTTTATACAGCTCACTCACCTCAGCACATTCAAAGACCAGTTCGTATGTATATTAATCTTTTTTTTTTCTTCTGGCTTATTAAAGAACAGAAGAATATGCAGTTCTAAATGTTAAAATGGGGCACTTTTTATTAACATTGAAAGCAGTAAATTATCTCTGCTTATGAAATGAGACTGAGCAATTTCTGCTGAACTCTTCCTGACTTGCCCCTTCACTAGGATACAGTGTTTTCTAATTTCTCAGAGGGCCCTGGTTCCATTAAGGGCAAGAACTGTTTTAAAACTGTAATGAAAGCCATACGTAGCTGAAATTCAAGGAGGGGAAATGCCCTAAATTCTATTTCAGTAGCTCATCTAGAGCTATTTTCAGTTTTATGTTTATAAGAATGTCAATTAACCTAGAGACTAGGACACACATGGAAGAATAATGATGAAGTGGATATCATTTTAACACACTGAAGTCAGCTAGTTGGACCTAATCCTTCTTTAGAGAAGCTTGATTTACATAAGAAGCTGGCCTGTGTTGCCTAATTTAGTTCTAAAACAGCATGGTGATTTAAATGCTCTTTCTATGCCATGGGACAGCACTGGTCAAAGAGACAGAAATATTAAACTGGAAAAAAATAAAAGGAATATATAAACACACTGGAGACACTCTACCATCAGCTTGATTTCTCGGACACTTTGCAGAGCTGTTGACCACTTCAGCATTTATTTGGTGATAACAATAGTAACAGTAATAATAACAATACTCTTAAGGTGTAATTCTGCAATTTGGTATTGGTTGTGTCACGTCTTTGCCTAGCTTATGCTGAAGTTGTACATACAGGCAAGACAGATATTCAGTATGTTGTTTTCTGTTACAAAAAGAACTCAACATCAGATCTGCAATGATACTTTTGCAGGAATGGGAAGTGACCCTGTCAAGGTTAAAAATAGTAATGAGTGTTACAGGTCTTTTTAGTTTAAGTACAGAACAATGTCAAGGTCCCTTCCAACCCCTAACATTCTGTGATTCCATGTGATTCTGTGAATGTTCTTATCTGGAGAAAAACTGGAAAAAAAATCCATGTATGTGAAATTTGCCTGCATTGGATAGAAGGTCATAGAATCACAGAGTCATGCCTTACCAACTTCTTTTATGAGATTTTTATAGTAGATACAAGATTCAAAGTCATCACCTAATAATGGTTGAGACTTTTTTTGTCGTTTGTTTAATATCATATATATTTGCGTGTATTTCTTTTCCCCCACTTACAGTGTCATTTTTTTTCTTTTTTCCCTTATTTATTGCATTAGTGCTACGGGATGACTTCCGCCAAAACCCTACAGATGTTGTGGTGGCAGCTGGAGAGCCTGCCATACTGGAGTGCCAGCCCCCCCGCGGACACCCTGAGCCAACCATCTACTGGAAGAAAGATAAAGTCCGGATCGATGACAAAAAATGTGAGTACAGCACAGGTGGTTGTCCTATAGATACAGAGCCTGCACTGAAGGCCTGAGTGCAGCAAAACTGTACGACTTCATAGCCTTTCATGTAGACACTTGCCATTAACCTTGGCCGTTGGCCTCTCTGAGCTTTCCCAAATGAGGCGAGGGGGAAGGTTGTTTATTCCCTTTGGTTTGGGTCTCCAACTTGAACTTCTTGAGGCTTGATTAGGAATGGGGGTCCATTAGAGCTATAGATTTAATCATGTAATGTGCTTAGTTAGGTGGGGGACTTGGTGGATGTCTTTGACCAGTTTGGCGTTACCTTTTCTAGATCTCAGTCTGCTGAAACAACATCTTGGCTGACAGAAATGAAAACATCAGAGAGATGTTTTAAAGAGAAAGTCAGTGAGATAGCTTAGGATGATATTGGTAATACTGCATTTAGTATAGTAACTGAGATGTGTATTCTAAATGAAGACTGAAGTTATACTCTAAAAAATGATTATTCCTGAATAGGAATACGTATTGAGTAAATGAGTAACACCGGTGGAACCCTGGGACAGGTCATTCCATGTACTGAGTTCAAAAGGATCCAGGAGAAATACCTAACTTATCAAGTGATTAGAAATTATATCATGGTATATGTGCAAGCAAAGGGGGTATATCAAGGGTGCAGGAACGTATTTCATTCCTAATTTTTAAATGCTTAGCTTTTCACAATTCATATTCCTTGAGTAAAGTTTTATGTAATATGTAATGATATGTAACTCATTCAGGATTGACATTCAAGATGAAAGTACTCTCAGGAAGCTCATTTGTTGCTTTGGATGCCTAAGGAAGTGCTTCAAACTAACCAATCTAAGTAGTTTCTCTTTGTGGGCCAGGCTGTCTCTGTGAGGGCCTACTCAAGAATAGAGGAAGAGTGTCAGGGAACTGTTATCATTCTCTGACTCTCAGGTTTTTATGGCTATATTCCTAGCTTATTCTGAAGCACCCCGCTATCTAACCTTGACATTGTCTGTGACTTCACAAGATGCAAATTTGTTATTTTATTTCTTTCACCTGCCTTGCCCTTTCACTGTAAAAGCACACTTTGTAGCCAGAAAAAAATGTTACGTCTCACGGGAGTCAGGTGAATTCTCACTCTGGGCTAGATTCAATCTGTTTGCATCAAGGAAAAGAGAAAATCTGTCTTAATCAGTCAATAAGGAAACTGTTCAGACACCAGTAAAATAATATGAACTAAGTAAAATTAAGTAAAATTTCCTTTTTCTTGAGAGAGGTGTCAAGAGTGCTCTACATATCATCATGCAAGAAATACAAGCACTCTACATTGTCAAAAAGGCAGCAAGAAATGCAGTTAAAATCAGTCAGTAGGATAAAATTTGTTGTAGAACAGCTTTAAAATTATAATCCTATACACTTAAATATCTTTAAGCTATGCGTATGTTTACAAGCAAAACTTTTAAATGCCTTAGTTGTGGAACTTGCTGCCTGAGAAGGTAGCTTTTTTCTGATATCTTTTGTTTATATGAAGTTAAAAATATATTCATTGTTTTGAAACAGATACGTGGTGGGAAGCTGATGATCTCCAATACAAGAAAAAGTGATGCTGGCATGTACATTTGTGTTGGAACAAACATGGTGGGGGAGCGAGACAGCGATCCAGCAGAGCTGACTGTCTTTGGTAAAGAACTCCACCTTTTGTTTCCTTTTCACTGTAAATGTCATAGACTGAATTGACCAGGATGACTCATCAAAATATGAGACAAAAACAAGGTTAACAAAACACGATAGTACTGCTTAAACTGAATTTCACACTTTCTGAAGAAGACCAGATTTCAAAGGCTGCAATTAATTATGGAGCTGCAGTGGCTCAACGTTTTCCTTCTAAGCACATAGTTTCAATCTAATTGGAGGTCCTTAGTGATATACATACACTCAGAGATGGTAATGCAGGACATAATGCCCTCCCTCACAAAATTACCGAATGTAATTAAGCTACTTCTAATACAGTTGACAATGCCTGCTTAACAGAGATTTGGACCAGCATTGCCTATTTAAATAATTCCTTATTCCTGTGGGGTTGTGAAATCAAACCTTTGTAGGAGAGCACAAAAGAGCTCAACTGATCAGTAAAAGGTTACTGGAGAAAATGCAGAGATCAACTCTTTGAATATACCTCTGTTTTAAAGGGCATGAAACAGCTTTTCACCCTATAAGCCAGGGCATCGTTTAGATTTTTGGTGCTGCTAAATGAATAGGTTTCCTGTGTGAAAGAGCTTTGAGACCTGATGGGCAAGGCAAGACATTGTTAGGAACATTTTCGCTATGGTTAGGGCCTGGAGTGAGAATAGAGTAATACTGAACCTTGAGCTGGACCCATCCTGCTAACAACTTCTCAAGAAGCAAAGCTGCAAAATCCTACTGTGGTACATCTTGCAGGAGTGACATTTCTATTTGCCATTAGCTGTGGTTTTGCAGGAATTAGTCAAGAGGTCTTGAGCAAACAGAAAAAAATCAATAAAGAAAGAAATGCTCACTGCTAAAGAAAACACATACATGCATACAAAAAGAAAAAAAAATAGTTAATGTTCCCTCCTACTACACCCTTTGATGTCCTTGATTCAATATTGAAATTCCAAACAAGACTGCTTGTAATTCCAGTAAGACTTTTTATAGAAATCATAAGGTCCCTTCTGAAGCAGATGCTCCTAATTTTTTCACCTTTTGCCTTATTAAGCGAACTGGAAAATCCAGTTCATGCTTATTGCCACCTGTGTTTGCATGTATGTGCAATTCAACCTTTGTTTGTCCTGTTTCAAAAAAACATATTATGGGATTCACAAAAGGCTTAGAAACGTTTCTACTGGACAAGATCCACGAGTGACTAAGGGTTTCCTGCTTTCTAGAATTGCTGTAAAGACTTCCCTTTCACTTAGTTTGTTGTGGACACATGGCAGCATATGACTTTTAAAGACAGAACTAGTATACCTTGCAAAAAAACACGGAAAGGATCTCTATCAAATATTTATGTCTTTTGCAGCCAATCTGTTGAAGTTATGCCTTTATACAGATGTAAAAGAGACATGACATATCTTCTTCATCAGTTTAAGTACTGATAATCTCTGGCAATACTCCCTGTGGATAGCAAGCAGATTGCAGTCCTAAACTACAAAGCCTTAAGAAATCCTTAAGAAAATAATTTGTTAAAAATCATTGAACTGTAGGAATAAAAACTGAAATATGCATGTAATTTCATATCCTGCAGAGCTACGAAAAGATATGTAAAATAATATGTAGCCAATTACAATATCCTGATTTTTTTTTACAGGATTTAATCGTAGCAATCAATTTGTGAAATACAGTCTAAGCCTATTTTGTGAATACTGAACAAAATAAGCAATAAATGAGATTAGATATTTTAATTCTTCATAATTGTGTTAGACTGCTTAAAGAAAATTTTATTTAAAATTCCTTTCCTGTCTGGATATCTTCCTATCTAAAATTCTCAATTATCTGGGTATTCCTTTCCTACCTTCATTTTTGCTGTACAAGAAGAGCATGCGGGACACAGGCCCTCAGGTTCTCATCTGCTGTTTGAGAAGATAAGATGCCTGTCCTGTGCCCATGTCCTGGCTGCTACCTGGCCCTGAAGTTCTATGTTGGTGTGCTGGACTCACTGTGTAGATGTGTCCAGGTTAGTCCTAGTCTGCTCAGAGGTACAAAAGGAGGTGGCTCGGGTTTGCTTTCCACCAGCAGAACAGTTGTACTTCATTCCAGGACTCCAGGCAGCAGCTCGTGTGTGGGTGGGTGCGTGCAGAGTGCAATGGAGACCATTATTCACGATGTTTCCAGGCAGCAACATTATCTACTGGACAGTCCAATCAGTCTAAGCATACACAATAAATCCAATAACTCCAGCAACTCTGGGAAACATCAGAAATGGCAGTGCGTGTTCGGATTGACTTCACTGAACACAAGCAAAACCACGGGTTGTCTGTTAAGTCCATAGCCTTCCTCGAACATGACTCACAGGTTTGAGGAGCATGGGAATAGCACAAATGTTGAGAAAAAATAGGCTAAAAATATCATAATCCTTATATATTATTCATGTGCCCAGCCTTAAGTGTTTTGAACATATTTGAAAATGGGCTTTATAATGAAAGTGAAGATATCTTAGCTAAGAGACATGGAGAATTTAATAAAGTGGCTGGAAAGCCTACAGCTGGTGCTGATTCTGAAGAGGAATGTGTACTAATTAGCTGATTTTTAATGACTCTGTTCCTTTTCCAAATAACAGCCCCTTAAATCGTTTCCATAGTGTGAAGAGGGCCTCAATAAATGTGCTACTTTGTAGGAAAAGTAACTATTTCATACTAGTTCTCAAACCTTTCCAGGAGTCAGCCACTTGTTACTTTTGGCTTTACAAGTTTTTCTGTAATATCTGAAGTTAATTTCTGCATGTGGCTCGTGACAGATCTCTGGTTCCCTGTACAGTAAATTTAGCTTGAGGCATTGCCTCTGGAAAAACTGAGTCAATGTGGTGGTAACGGGTGGCCCGAGAGGAATAGCATGGAATTCTAATCTTAAAGATTATGCCTTTCCTGAATTAGAAAAAAAAAAAATTGTAAAAAAAAAATAAAATGAGCAATGAGAACCCTGGAAAGAAATAGGAAGAGGAAATAAAGTTTCATTTGAACAGAATGCGTCTACTTGGCTGGGTACCCATTTAGTAAGCTTTGCTGAGTGATAGTTCTGGATAATTCATGCAGAACTTTCATAAAACAAGTAATCTTTTTTCCAATGCTGTCTGCATAGGAAGCTTAGTTTCCAACACGTAGGCACTGCTAGGAGCATACTGTTTGTGTCAGTGCAGACTGTATTTCTTTTGTTCCCAAGTCGTGGTTCTTCTACACGCAGAAAATTGCCAAGCTTTCACAGTAAAATATCATAAAGCAGACTGATCATATAAGTAGTGCTTCTCATAATAATTCTTGTGTTTTGAATAGTGACAATGATGCATTACATTTTGTTAGTCTTCTCTTTCAAGCACTACTGCTAGTTTGTACCTTTATGAGGTTCCGATGTGTAATCTCAGGTTAAAGCAAGAAGACACGGTCTGTCACAGAGTCTAAGTTGACATTTAGTAACTAACCTGTCAATCCTAATGTTCATGAAAAGAGGTGGTACAGTACTTTATTATTACGGATGCACTGTTCTAAAAGCCAAAACCAGAAGTGTAAGTGTAAGTGATACAAATTAGGCTGCTTTGCTTGTGCTTGGGCTCATAGCCTTTGGCTGAACAGAATTAAAGCAAGATGCAAAACAGAAACAGTTTCATTCCAATTTGTAAGTAAGCGTGGTTAGTAAATACATAATATGGAGCCAGAAATTAAATAAGGTAAGAATTATTTTTTAAGTTAACCTTTTATAATTTCGTCATGCTACTGCACTGTTCTCAGATAAATTTTCAAGTTGTTTTAACTATTTCAGACTCTTTTTTTTTTTTTTTCCTTTGGACTTAAAATGGTCTGTTTGAAGAAAATGTACGAAGGTGTGTCTTGTATATTGATCCTGAAACTCAGTGAAATCAATGAAAGCCTTAGTATATCAACTTCAGGAGGCTGGAATCAAGCAATGGAAAAAGATATATCTGGAAGAGCCTCAAAAGAGTATAAAGCATAAGTAAGAAGAGTACAAAAATGTCTTAAAAGATATGTCAATTCAGACATATTAAAGATTGTTTTGGATTAGCGTTTGATTTTAGCTTTGATACTTGAACCTTTTTTTCGGCTAATAAGGTCCTATGGGATGAAGAGGTATTTTTGTCTGAAGCTTGAAGAAGTATTTGTGTTTGATGTTCTCTAGACATTATCAGGCTGAAAGAGATACCATCATTCCAGAAAGAGTATATACAATGATGACATGATGTTAGGGGAAAAGAAAAATCTAAAAATTCCTTAATGAAGATGTTATGCTCCATTTTACATTTTTGAGCTCTGACTACATGGAAGGCTTTAGCAGAGAGACTTGTCCCATCATATCCTGGAAATTAGTCCCTGAAGCTTTCCCAGCCACATGGAAAACCTACCAAAACAGTATGTATATTCACAATTCAAGATAGGGAAGTTTGCAGTGTGTATTTTGTCCCTCTGAGCAAAGCTCTTCCTATCTTTCTTCAAATCCTTGTATCTCCCACTTGCAGTTTGCAGAAAGCCAGTTTGGCTTTGCGATAGTTATTACCCACATACACTGACAGGTTGTAATAGGATAGTGATACTGCTGTAAAAATGTACCTGATTTGGTCTCCAATGTCCCTAAATACTACTCAGTAGAAATGGAAATTAGCACAGTTATAGATGCATATAAAAGGAGGAAAACACGAACAGTTTATAAAAATCAACCTACTTTATTTGCATGGGCCTCTTAAGAGCGGTCCATGCCTTTATTGTGCAAGCTCATTGCATCTTGACTACTGCTTAGAGTGTAGAAGTTGGCGATGTCTACAGAAGTGCTTATTTCTCAAATAAAAACGGAAAAGTGCGTTAAAAGACAAGAGTGTCTTTAGATATAAACCCATCTGCTTTTGCAACTGTTTTTTCATTTATTTGACCAACATAGATAAATTTAATGTGATCCTAATATCCCGTCTTCTTCCACATCTTCATTTTTGGCAGATAGCTTTACTTTATCCAGATCAAGTAGCAGTTAGTAAAATATCTACACTATTGACAGCATTCTGAAGTGAAACTTACTTCTAACTGTCTCATGTTTCCTTGTTTCCTTTACATCAGAATGCTAAGGTGAAAAAGCTTTCATTTTAAAATATTTGCTATTAAATGCCTCCCCAAAGCCTTTTAATTTGTGTGTTAATACTTCCTTGTAAAACACAAGAACATTTTTTTAACAATGGTGACTTCTCTCCAGCAAAGACGGAAAAACAGTTCTAAATCAGATTGAGCCTCTACATTATGGGGACCATCGAATCCTTCACTCTAGCAATTGCCTCAGCAAAGAAAATGTATTAAGGTCATTAGGATCATTTTAATTAGATTGAGGTCCCGTATATGGCTGTCTAACTTTTTGAGGAACAGAGAAAGGGCAGTAATACATCTGAAGGTCATCCGAGTCTCTCTAATAGACTATGATATTCAGACCAATTGTTAAATACAGGAAAAATTGAGTTCTGGGGTTAGTTTGTGTCAACACCCAAAGCAAGGAAAGGATTTTCCTGTGTTTCTGGTTAGGTTAAATTTGGTAGGTTTTTTTGCAGCATCTGTTTCAAGCACTGCAGCAGATAGTAGGTGTCCAGACTGCATTAACAATCCCCTTTTATAACTGCACACGAAGTTTATTCTGAAGTTACAAAGGTCACCCTAGTAATAGCACAACTGGTTGACATGACATATAACCATGACCTATTTTATAGTTCTTTTCAAAGATTTTTAATATTCATCAGTGAAAGTCTAGGAAGCGGGTACTTTATTTACTCAGTGAAAGCTTATAAAATAGCTATATTAAAATTTTTATATATGTCTATGATTTTAATTTATTACCTTGTCTTCTTGTTGCTCAAATATATTGTGTCCTGGGTGCTGCTGACAGAGTAACGATGTTTAATTATACCGCAAGGCGTTATGGGCAAACCATTTCAAAAGGAAAAAGTATTTTTTCTCTTTTGAAACTAAATTTGACCTGGCTGTTAGAAACCTTCTTTATTTAGCATGCTTGGGCAAGCACTGCTCCGTCTCCTGAGAGATTAATGTTGTAAGCCAGTTATGCAGGTGACTCAAATCTAGTTAATCTCACATAAAGAATGTTAATTGCATTGGCAATGGTATTCACTCTGATCACTTTATAGCTGTATAATTGCATATTGGACATATTCAGGGGGTTGTCTGAGTGATACAAATACAGGAAATAACATGAGAGATAACGTGTTCTTTTCTGATTCACACTGTGCAAAATGCAGAGGTGATGGAAAAATGGAAATAGCTGTTGGTGTTTGCATGTCCTTGCTAACTGAGATCTGTACTTACATAGCTGTTTATTTCCTAGCAAATTCTTAACTGTTTCAAAAAATATGCAGTTTGAGAAGCTGATCTGAGGCAAACATGTATGTATAATCCTAAATGGTCTTGATGGTGGAATCATGTGATTTACCTAATGACCTTTGGGCCATTCGCTGTCTCATCAGCTGGGGTCTCCTCAAAATGTGGTAGGAATTTATTTTCTCATCTCCTATATAGAAGCATTTACAGCCACAAGTAGCAGTTTCATAAATATACATATGTCAGTTTCTTAGCTGTTTACATGGTCTGAGATAATTTTTATATGCAGACCAAGCCAACATACAGATACATGCAGAGTTATTTAAATTCACTGTGGACAAATCAAGGTATGGTTTAGGATAATCTCTTGAAAAAAAACCCCATAATATAGAGTGTATTGTGTATGAGCTCAGAGCAGAGGTTGGTCTGAGCTCTTCTTAGGAGAGAAATTGTAAATAAGATACTGTTGCAAACTTACAGAATGTGTCATTAATATACTCCCCTCTAGATCCACATAATTACAGACAGGCCAAGTGCATTGCTTAGCATTAAGATTAACAGGTAATGCTTTTGTTACTTTGTCCAGTTTTAATAAGTTTGTCAAACTACAAGGCTTTATGCGGAATTCTCCAAGACTGGTTGGAAAATGTTTTTTAATTCTTTTTTGAATTGCCAAAATAATTCTTCTCCAAAAATGTTCAAGTTCCTTTAGTTTGGAGGTGAAAGGAATAATTGGAGGGAAATGGGAAAGGATTTGAAGGAGAAGAAAGGAGGAAGCTTTTTTGTCCTGAGAAACGCAGATCCATCATATTGAATAACAGGCCTAAAATTTGGTGGGAAAGAGCTACGTTATTCCAGAGATTTTAACTTTGCTTGTCCAAAGAATTTTGACAAAATCTAGCCAGTTATGCACTTCTCTTAAAAAAAAAATAAAAAAAAAATTGTTACTTTGTATGCCAGAGGCATCAGGTAGGATGTGATTCAGAACAGTATTTTCTTGCAACTGCACTCTGCTCCTGCTGCTCTCACTCTCCTGGGATGATGCTTGGATACTTCAACCAATTTTTCTTGTGTGTCATGGACAGGCCATGTCTGAGTGGCACAGTGAAAAGAAGGTGCAGTACAAGTGTAGTTCAAGCACACAGTAAAGAGTCAGTTTGCTGTGAGGTACGAAGAAGTGAGAGGCATAGATAGTTGGAAAGGAGACCGGACTTCTGAACTTGCTGGGTTCCAGCTCTGAAAAGTGGTGTTCTGGGCTAGGAAAAGACAAGTCACCTAATGAAGCAGTCAGTTGCTGGAAAGAGCTGGCACAGCAAGTGGCTGGAATGGAGGAGGACTTGAGGCACAGGCTGTCAAAGACACGTAGGTGAGAGTAGGAACAAACCTAGCTGGAGATTGGGAAGGGTCGGGAGACTACAGGCACAGGGAAGGAGAAATCTGATGAAGCACTCTCAGGACAAAGCTGTAGTGAAGGTTATATGTGGCTTGTACACAGACTTGAAGCAGGCAACAAAGACTGAGATTTCAATGTGTGGAGAGAAACTAGAACTGAATTTACGTGCCCGAGCACTGATGGAACTGGTCCCAGGCAGGATTAGGAATAGGGCAAAAAGCAATGCCTTGGGAGTAGTGGGGAGAAGAATCTCTGCCCGTTAGACATGATTTTATCTTTAGCATCTGTAAAAGTGCTATGGATTCTTGAGCATGTCTATTCTTCTGCTGACAAGATATGGTTTCCCCTGCCAATAGGTCCCCCTGCTAGTAAAATGGAATTCCTATGTAATGCTGTCATTCATTTACATAATTATTAACAGATGGTTTTATGTTCCTTATTTTCTGATTTAGTATTCTGACTTGTAAAAGTGAGGAATGTGTTATCGGCTGCAATTGAATTCAATGGAAGCTGAACTTTGAACACACAAAATCAATGCTAGATACTCTCAAAAAAAATAAATGGCAGTTTTGTGTCTCAGGTTGGGCATCAAAATATAGCAGATATTGTTTACCTTGCTTTCTTAGATCTCCCTGGCACCACAGAAAGGAACTATGGAAACAAGTGAATTGTTTATGAAGCATTAATACAGGTGTAATGGAGGTCATGAGGAAATTAATAATTCTGCCTTTGAAGTGAAGTTTGAGTAGTATGACAGGAGGCCACCCACTAAATGGTACAACTAAAGCAAAATATTGAACACCTACTCATTAAATGAATACCAACAATCTGGAGATGCTTGGGGAAAAAATAGTATATGATCATATGATTGCAACCAGTCCCATAAGGGATAAACAGAAAGGGAGTGATTAAAGGGCACACAGACAGCCTTAGTTCTGGCACTGAAGTGCTTCATGCTTGACTTTGCAACCTTCATAATGTTCTTTTAATATTTGAGCATTTTTTATTTATTATTTAGATACAATAAACATGGATAGCCAACACATAAACTCATCTCTGTAGTTACCAAACTACCTCCATCAGAATCTGGTATAGCTTACGTAAATCTGTGTGAATTTTGAGTACTTTCTTCAGTGACATCATATTCTTCAACTTACTGAGAATGAAATGTGAAACGTAGTGTGTAACCAGTTTTACATGTCTTTATAATAAATCCCTGTCTTGAGTGGAAATAGCACTTCCTATAAACTCAGTCTTATAATGGTTTGACTATACCGTAAATAATTTATGACAATAAAAGTGTGGTGTGGCTAGGAAAGGGCAGAACAAAATTTATGTAATCCAAAGGCAACTTGGAAACTAACCCCAGTGACATCCTTTCAAATGAAATTACTAGTACACTGAGTTTGTACCAGTATAACTGAGATAAGATTGTGGCTCTGCATCTGGATTTTAAGCAGGCCTGTACAACATTATGATGATTAATAATATTTGTAGCTGTGCAGGCTAACATAACAAGGGTAAACAGAACTTATTATTCAGACTTTAATTTAGTTTTCCATGGTAAAGTTAGTGATGGGGATCAGGGAAACTCTGACCTCTGTACGATCATCTACAATTGTCTGAGATGCATAACACGGAGTTTATGTTCTCCTCCAAAGCCCTAAGGTATTGATTACTACCCAGGGCAAGCTATCTCCATTGGCAGCTCATATATCGCCGGCGCAGACATGAGCTTTTAGATCACACTCTGTGCACGTAGTGGTGCAAAGCCAAACACGTTCACGCGGAAGGGCACGGGCCTTGGGGACCTCTCCCCTGGCGTGGCGGGTGGGCGGTCAGGGCCAGTGCATGCTTCCTCCTGGTGGCACTGGGCTCTCGCATGGGGGCCGACTGCCCCAGCCCCTGCCTTTCCAGCCTGGGAGTCGTCTTCTGGGCTTTTTGTGCACTTCATCAGCTGCACTTGTCTGAATTTGCGGAGCTCAGCCTCCTTTCTTTGTTCTGTGAATTGGGAAGCAAAAAGATGCTGAGAAGTCGAAAGTGTTCATTTCAGCCCTCTGACTCACTAAGGAATTTTAATGTCTCTTTCAAGAGCGGCCCACGTTTCTCAGGCGACCGATCAACCAAGTGGTGCTGGAGGAGGAGGCCGTGGATTTCCGGTGCCAGGTGCAGGGGGATCCCACACCTACAGTCCGGTGGAAGAAAGATGATGCAGACTTGCCGAGAGGAAGGTGAGAGCAACACTTGTGTTCCGCACACTTTCAGTCACTGAGTAGTGCAGGAGTCGCTCCCTACTACTTACAGTTGGTTATTTGACGTTATGGCCAAAATTTATTTCCCATGTCACTGGTGTTTGGTACTACAAAACCTGTTCCACAGCCAGCTGAGCAGGGAAACCCAGTCTGGGTTGAATTGTTCAAGTAATGGATTCCTGTGGAAGGAAGAAAAGTGATGTGTAAGTATTGTGAACATATGGGTATTAACTGAATTTACTGGAGAAAGTAAAGATGTCTTAGGAATATACTAGTGATAGTAGCCTTCATAATAACATGCTGATGCCAAAAGGGAGAAAACTTGGCTGCAGAGTTGCAGAGCCTCTCTGTCGGACTAGCAGGGTGAATAAGAAGCAGAGTGCTGTGATGGGTTTTCTGGCTCATAGACTCATGTCTGTTAAGTCTTGGAGAGAAAGCTTCCTCCTGAGGAAACAAAAAAACAAACTAGCAGAAGTGGAACTAAAGTTGAAATCTAGAAACTTCATGGAAATTTCATTTAGTCTGGAACATGGAACGCTGATGAAATTCGAAGACAGAAAAAAAAATAGATTGGATCTTCAGGTCTTCTGACAAAGGCTTTAAACATTAGGCTTAAAGTAGATTGGATGTCAAGTGTTATTTTTGATCCTCCAATCATGATCCTAAAAAAAGAGCAGATGGAATGGTGTTTTTGGCTAGTTTGTGTCAGTGTATATTCAGTTCACTGTGAGAACACTACTAAACTGGGCCTAACTAAAACAAGTTAGACATTGCCGTCTGCTTTCTTTATCACAGCATGTTTCACATCATCAATCCAACAGGTGAAAAATGGGGTGAGACTCTTATCTGGCAGTCTTCATCCACTTGCTAAATACGGCATTTAGTGTCACATAAACTTTCATGAAAAACTATGTCAAAATTCCTCAGTCATACAACACTTGGACATGTTTACGTCTTGGGTTAATATTTTTGTTTCTCAATTTCTAAATCTTTAACAAAATCCCAAACCTCAATTTGTAGGATACCTGTTTTAGTTTCTCATCCTTAACTCTTTAAGTTGTCGTCCAGTTCTTTAGTTAAACATATCAATTTAGTTAAACATATCAATTTAGTTAAACATATCAATTTCAAAAAAAATTTTTATATAAGTACAGATATGTATATATAAGTATAGAAATACATTTTAAAATTGATTTCTCTGCTATTTAAAACAAATTAAAAAATGACATAGTTTTTTGGCTAATTGTACTGATAGATGTATATGCATGTAATACATAAAATATTATTTTGAAGAGCGGACTTTTGGATGGTAGGATAAACTTTTTGCTTAACTGCTATTTAACTATCCATTGTAAAGTAGTCCATAGTAAATACATTGTGCTTCTATGATTTAAGCTTGCTGTTGTGCTACTTCTATTTTAAATGGTGTCTGCTTCTAGGTCTCATAAGCAGAAATAATAGATGATGAACCAACAGTGCCTTTGATTAGGTTTCACTTTTATTAGGGTTTTTTTAATTACTATGTTCCTTCTTTTTCTTTAATATCTTACTGTGAAAAACAGTACTATGTGCTTCGAGGTGATTTTTTCTATTGATTCATAATGTATTTCTAAGAAAGAAGGAAAGTATCAGGAAACATAGTAAGAGTTTTCACTGAGCTTTTACCTAAAAGGGGGGAAGTTTCATCAGATACATTCTGATCATTATCCACTTAAGACTCAGAAACTACTCATAAGGTTTTGCGGTGGTTTTGCACTGCTATTTAACATTTCATTAGCTGTGTTTTGTCACATTAAAACTGAAAGGTGGGGGCATATCTTCATTTATGTCTGCTTCCCAGAACTCAGACAGGTGAGTAAAGAAGGAGCAAGGTTGCAGAATCTCACTCTGGAGAGCACCTGGGGTGATAGTGGACTAGAACTGCCCCTACCCCTGTAGCGTATTACCATCACCTGAGCCACATTGACTGTAGCCACATTGATCTAGTAGAGTCCAACATCTACACTTCAAAAGCAAATACCTCTGATGATCAGGGCTGTATGTTTTCTTTTCTAAAATGTATCATTTGTGTAGCAAGGTACATGAGCAGAGTCTTCACTGTCCACAAAGTGGAAATTTCCAAACCATGATCATAGAATCATAGAATCATAGAATGGTCTAGGCTGGAAGGGACCTTAGAGATCATGTAGTCCAATCTCCCTGTCATGGGCAGGGACGCCTCTCAACTAGATCAGGCTACTCAAGGCTCCGTCCAACTTGGCCTTGAACACCTCCAGGGAGGGGGCAGCCACAACGTCTCTGGGCAATTTGTTCCAAAGTCTTGCCGCCCTTGTGCTGAAGAATTTCGCATGATGCTTAATCAAGGAAGTTAAATTTGGAGCATCTGAAAGAAAAGCTACTGTTTTTTCCAGAGTTTTTAATGCAAGCAAAGAAATCTGCCCAGGTATAGTCTGAAAGAATGATGAGTGAGAAAATTATAAGAGAGCAATTTTATAAATTAAGAAGAGAATTTCTGAGTTATTTTTGCTTGATTAAGTGGGACATTTTGTTTTCTTTGTTGAGGTAGAACTGAAATTAACTTTCAGCTTCTGAACTACTGTATTTTAAGCATTTTAACATCTACAGTGAAATATGAAACCCTCAAGGAATTCCTTTTGTTATTCTTCCTATATGCATAAATCCTTCTTCTGAGCAGATCTGTGCAACTATTTGTCTTATATCTTTCAATATCAATTTCCTGTTTCTACAGCTAAAAATATTATTTGCACTTTTGTCTGGTTTTGTTTTTTCAATAATTTCCTTTTGACTTCATCCCTAGATTACAAGACAATTATACTAGGTACTTGTTTTCACAATTAGTGCAAATTTTTAAAGGTTTCTATTGTTATTTCAGCTTTCAAAAGTGTCTAGTTCATTGGTAGCAAAGTTAGATAAACTGAATTTTTATGCGCATTTTGTTTCTGTAATTTGCTTCTGGTAAATGCTGGAATCCGTGATACTGGATTCACAGTCTTTCAGAAATCTTTCTCTGTTTTTTCATCATACTTACTTTTAGCTTTTGTAGTGACACATGTGAAAGCAAAGTGAAAAGTAATCACAGTAATTTCTGGTGACAAATATAAACAGTATCGCTGCATCAATTGGTGTGTTGAGTAATAACTGGAAAATAATTTCAGGCTGTTAGAGTTTTAATTATAAAGTTCCCTGGTGAACTGTAAGCATCTCCAGTTGCAATTAGATTGAATGAGGAAAAAAAAACTTCTAAAGCAATTATATTTAAAAATATTACTATTAAAAAATTTTAAATTCGGCCATTTTGTTGAATCACCTATGTAATTTCTCAGAAAATTATAAATAACTGTGCTTTAAAATTGAGACACAAATAAATTTGACACAAGTTTATTCGGAGGAGGCAAGTCTTCATTCCAGGTTTTAGTTATTTTAAATTGATGATTTAAACCAACTATGATAGTGTATATTTTTAATTTAAAACCTTAAAATGGTTCTCATAGTGGAAGTTTTCGGAATGCCTAGGGAATATAGGTCTTAGTAGCAATCAAAGGAAGCTACTTGTCCAATATCCTGACTTGAGATTTCAAAGACTGTATTATAGATCTTTGAACCCTTCAGTGTATGGCTGGGGAGGAATTAAGAAACTGATAAGGTTGAAACAGTGTTGTGCCTTATGTATGCTAATTTTTTTTTTGTTCTTGTACATTGTTGTGGTAGTGAATTAATTAAATTCTTCAGACTTGACAATTCTTTTTAGAGCCTAAACTAATCCCAGCAAATTAATAACTTACTATTAAAAATGTTGATACTGCATCAACGGGGAGAAACAAAGTATGATGTGAAGTCTGGGGTGTATAAAGCTTTTTTCCAGAAGCTGTCCATGTCAAATCAGTGACCCAAGACTGAAATGCATTGTGAATCAAGGGTAGAGGCACATGGTGTATATTTTATTATAATTGCTGTAAAAATTCAGCTTCACACCACAGCTTCCACAGTACACAAAGCCTAGGGAATTGTTAATCAAGTATGACTCATGTCAAACTACTGGAGGTGAACAGGATGTTGTAGGATCCTATGCCTTTGGCTGAAATATTAAGTTCACTATTTAATGAATGGGGTTTCTTTTCATTAGAAGTGACACAAGGAAATGGCACAAAAATTCTGCTAAAGAGACTCAGACAGTTGTGGCCATGCATAATGATGAAGACCTATTGAAATGAAATAAAAAATTGTCCTTATACATCGAAGTCTTTTTCCAGCAACGTGTTCAGGTAGGTTTCCCTTTGATGTCCACTTGGCGGAAATAGAGATTATACTTTCCTGCTAAGGAGTGTATGGTCTCCTGTGTGGTAAGGAACTCAATATGGCCTGGATCAACTTTTGATTCATCTGCTTTTTAGTCCTGGTAACAGGAAGAAAATAATATTATTTGAGAGCCTGCAGTCTGAGAGTGGCATATCTATGACCAGCAATTTAATAACATTTGAATAAGGTTTGTACAGTGTTTCCTGTCTTCAAATGTTCTAGCTAAGACGAAGAGAGCAGCTGCATAGTCTGTAATTACATAGGAAGTAGTATGGATTTTAATTTTTTTTTTAAGAAGTGAAGAGATTTTCAATTACAAGTTGAAATTTATGACACACTATAACTGTTTCAACCTTTTGCGCAGAAGAAGCTAGCAGTGCCAGCTCTTTGGGAGAGTGAGGTTAGCTCAGCAAATGTATTTTTCAGTTGCCTTAAAAATGACTGAGTAGCAATCACATGGGCCTTTTTTTTTTTGCATTCCAACCCAGAACAGCTGGTTTAGCTCAGTAAATACATCTTTAATGAAATTACAACCTGCTCTTGTAAGTTGCATTTGCAGGCACTGTCTGATTAGATGAATATTGTACTAGAGATGAAAAGTGGCAACTGCACCAGCAGGAAGAGGTATGTTTTACGCACCACCTACGCAGTGGGAGTGTGGT